GGGTAGCGTCTTCCTCTTTCAGGCCGTGTCGTCTGTTGGCAATTCGTCCCATCATACGAAGGATTTGATTCGTGGTATACGTAAGACGTTGAAGCGCGTGTGATCCTCCGCCGTCTTGTTGGAGAAAGAGGCCGAGAATCCTAATGCATGTCTCTTGCGGAATGACTTGATTCTCGAGAGTGAGAGTAAGCTGTGGCGGATCATAAGGAATGTTCCGGCATTTCTTCTTTACAATGAGCAGCTGCGATTTTTCAGGCGCACATTGAAGACCCCCACCACGTGCATACCGTTGAACCACGTCGGTCGCGCGCTGTAAGGCATCTTGGATCTCCCCGTCAGAGCCGGAGGTGGACCAGATAGTAATATCATCGGCGTAGAGGGCGTGATAGACACCCTCTATTTCTGCGAGTTGGGCAGGGAGCTTCATCATCGCCACGTTAAACAACATAGGCGACAGAACCGCTCCTTGTGGCGTTCCCCTGTTGGGAGTGGGGAGAGGTTGGGTCCGAAGGTCGCCAATGCCGATCGTGGCGGTGCGGTTTTGTAAAAATGCTTGAATGTAAGCAAAGGTTCGTTGACCACAGTTTAGATCACTGAGATTGGTAAGTATGATGTCGTGACTCACATTGTCAAATGCTCCTTCAGATCCAGCGTCAGGATGGCTCTAGTGCTGTGAGCGGAGACTTGTCGATTGATATCCTCGTGTAGTTGGAGGAGGATGTCTTGCGTACTGAGGTGCGGACGAAAGCCGAAGATTGTCGGTGGTACGAGGTTGTTGTTCTCGACGTATGGCTGGAGCCGGTTGAGTATCACGTGCTCGAACAGCTTCCCAATACATGAAGTGAGAGAGATGGGCCTCAGGTTCTCCAATTTGGGTGGTTTGCCGGTCTTGGGGATCAGGATGATATCGGCAAGTTTCCACGCTGCCGGTAATGTGCCTTCCTCCCAATGCTGATTAAAGAAATTGGTGAGGGCTTGGATGGAAGGGTCGTCTAGGTTTCGAATGATACGGTTTGTAATCTTGTCCGCACCGGGGGTGGTATTGCGGGTAAGAGCCTGGATGGCTTGATTCACTTCGGCCAAAGTGATGGGATTATCAAGGTCCGCGTTGGGGGCACCATGGTATTCCATGGGCTGAGAGGGCGGATGTTGTTGCCCTATGTACTTGTCCCGCAGAGCGTCGAGAATGTCCTTGCTTGTCCCTGGATATTGATGTAGGAGTTTTGTGATAATATGCCGGGTGGCTGACTTGCTCTTGGTGGGGTCAAGCAGGTGGCGCATCAGGGACCAGGTTTTGGCGGTGCCCAGGGTGCCCTGCAGGCTGTTGCAGAACTGTTGCCAGTTCTGTTGCATGAGGTCCACAGCGTAATCAGCGGCCTCCTCTGTGAGCCTTGCTATCCGAATCTTGAGGGTCCTGTTGTGCTTCTGCCGACGCCATCGCTTGATCAAGCTTCGTCGAGCTTCCCACAGATGGAGTAAGTGGGGGTCAACGGCTTGTCGTTCGTCGGTTAACATGATATCTTTGGCATAAGCGGAGACGTCGTGTTGTAGTGCGCTCACCCATTCGTCGAAGGAAATGATCTCTGAAGTGGAAGTGGTTTCTCTCTGCTTACGAAACTCGTCCCAATTAACGAGTCGTGTCTTTTTGATGTAGGAGTTCTTGCGAATGAGGGGGACCGTAGTGATGAGAATGCAGTGGTCACTTCCGAGCGTTTCCTCGGTGTTGCACCATTCAGCGTCTGCGAGCCTCTTGGTCATTGTCAAGTCGGGGCACGTGTCACGCAACACACTGTTGCCAATCCTGGTAGGGCAGGCAGGGTCTGTGTGTACTGTGAGGCCCTGTTGATGGATGAGCTCCCACAATTTATTGCCTTTCACGGTCGCCTTGCCGTATCCCCAAGCTGGGTGCGCCGCGTTAAAGTCGCCCAGGATGACGACGCCGTTCTGCTTGGCTAGTTTGAAAGTCGCGGCGAACAGGTAGGCAAAATTCTCCTTTCGTCGACTTGGTGGACTGTAGACATTGAGCACGAAAATACTCATCTGACCCCTTTGTGCAGGCAGGATCTCGATAAGGTTATGGTCGATGTTACTGCCATCAATTTGGTGCAGAACAGTGGTGAGTGATTTGGCAGTGAGTGTGGCGACTCTACTATCGGCGGACGTTGTATGACAGTTGTAGCCGGATTGCGATGGGACCGATCCGGTTTCTTGAATTGCTATGACATCAGGGGGGGTTTCGGCATCGCATATGTATTGACGAAGAGAGGCATGTTTTTGTTTGTACATACGACAATTCCATTGCCAAATGGTTAGGTTGTGGGAAGTTTGTTGAGCCTGATTATTCATCATGACCGGGTGTATGAGTAGGAAGGGAGGGGGATTCTAGGTTGGGTATTAGTTTTGCTTTTTTGCGGTTTGCGTGGTCAGTATCTTCAGTGTTAATGAGAGTATGAAGGTGCTGGAGCGCCTGTTTCATCTCTTGCAGCTGTTGTTGGGACTGCTCTTGGGACAGCTGCATTTGCTGCTGGATCTGAATGATTTGCTGTTGCATTTGTTGTTGTGATTGTACGAGTGTTTCTCCTAGTCCTGTTTCTATTTGCGAGGGCATGGGGCCAGTGGGTTCGGGGATTACAGCCACTTCATCGGAAGCTGACACTGGTGAGGTTGTTTTTTTCCCCGGATGTGATTTGATCGCGGGTATGACCTGGGAGGGGTCTGGGGGTGGCGAGGATCTTGAGGGTGTAAGGAGTGTTCGGAGTTGCCTATTCTCCTCTCTAAGTTGCCGACTCTCCTCTTTAAGTTGTTGATTCTCAGCCCTTAGTTCCTTTAACTGGTTTAAAATTTCGGTTAGCTGCTGACTAACATCCGGCGCGCAGGACGAAGAGGAAGTGGTCTGCCTCTTTTGGTTGTTTTGTGGGAATAGCCGCGCTGCCCAGCTCACCCTGTTGTTGTCTGTTGGTTGACAGAGTGCTGCTGGTGCCTTGTCGCATTGTGGGTTGCTTGATCGTGTCCTGGAATTGGACCTTGGTCTTGAGGAAGACCGTTGCCTCGGTCCCGTCCTTTGTGGCCCTCTGGAGCGGGAGCGTGACCGGGAGTTGACGCGAGTGTCCTTTCGTCTTCGGTGATGGTTCGAGACAGATGTTGGTGGGCGGTGAGCCAGCTTTTTAGGGCACTCCTTGGAGCCCGTAGGGTGGGCGCCTGTGCATAGAGCACATCGGGGCGTACACTCGTGGCTTTTCGTTGGGTTGGAAACACCACACATCACGCACTTAACAGTGTCCGGGTTTGGGCACACATCAGCGCGATGACCGATCTCGTGGCATATGTAGCAGGCGTGACGGGTAGGTAGATACCAACTGCATGGAAGTGCTGCGTGCTCGAAGATGACATATTTCGGTAATTGCTTGCCGGTGAAAGTAATAAGAGCTGTCGATGTTTTTCCGATCATTCGGGCTGAAAGAACTTCATAGCCCGGCGAGTAGAGATTGTCGATTAGTTCTTGGCCAGTGGTCTCGGGCGGGATGCCACGCACCACGCCGCGAGCCGAGTCGTCGGGGGCGGCAATATAAGCGGTAACTTCATATTCGTTGTCACCAAAACGCAGGGTTGGAATGTCTCTGATGTGTCGGGCCAGGTCTTCACTTGGGGTGCTTGCGATGGCGATATTTTGTACTCTGTCCATGCGGACTTGGAATGTTGTCGAGTTTGGTCGGTCGCGGGTATGTTGCCGAGTTTTCTCCGCGATGGCGCGAGAGAGGTGGATAGTCTCGAGGTTGGCAAGATTTAAGGCTCCTCGCGGGCGAATAATAATTTTGAAATCGTCTCGAGGGAGCGGAGGTAGTCTTGGTTGTCTAGTTAGGGCCCTCTGCGGCGTCGGTTGAGAGACTGAGATTGTGGCCTCGGTATTTTGTGGCTTGACCTTTTTGGATCTTCGCCTGCGTATTTCTACCCAGTCGTCTCGTTCGGGTTGTTCTTCTTGGAGGGGGATGCCGGTAGCATCGCTTGCCTCCATGGCCGTTGCCATGCTTGGGTTGTGAGCCGGAGGCGGCGTGGGGCGAAGGCACGTGCCTAGCGCACGAGCACCGGGTAAAATGCTGCGTACCTGGTTAGTAGGCTTAGCGTGGCGGCCGTCGCTTGGGAACTTCGAGAAGCGATATTTCCGAGGGAAATTCACTCACGCGCTGGATGATGGTGTGCACTTGTTCCTTGCGACGAACTGCGTTGATTGAGACCAGAATTGTTGTTGGATTATACTTTTTGCCGGTGATTGAGATCTCTGAAAGCGGGAGCCCGTGAATAGTACATCAGCGCCAGTTGGCCCTCGTCTTGTTTTTCAGAATTTCGGAAAAATTATTCTGCCGGCTGCCGGCAGAATAATTTCGTAAGAACTGGACAAAGACAACGCTGACTATCAACTGAATTTTACTTTGTCTTCTTCCCGGCCTAGGCCCTTTCTTTCATTTTTTTTTCTTCGTCTAACGGCAGAATAAACACTTATAAAAACCTTTTACCGCCGAATTCATAGATGTCACTCCGAGTCATGCCAAGTGAAGGGCGACCCTTCACTTACAGAAGGGCGGTTGAAGGGGCACTTCCACTTGAAGTGAGGTTTACCATTCTGAAATGGCACTTCGCTTTCACTCGAGCAAGTGAAGGGAGCCCTTCTACGGGATGCGTCCGGGAGCGAGACTAGAAAAGAAATTTATATTTATACTTTGCGTAAGACCACAAAAGTAAGTTAATTCTTAGTGTGTTTACATAATTTGTGTTTATAAAGAAATATTAGCACATAACAAACATGTTGCGATTTCAGAAACGAACGTAGCTCGTGCATCTTCTTTCAAACTAAATTGGCCAGCAATATAGCCATCAATATCCATGCTGAATACATTCCAAGTCCTTCCGATATCCTTGTTCCAACGCCACCACCGCCGTTGCCTTTTCGTGTTTACTTGCCCTGCTGGTTTGTTCTTTTAAAGTTTTCATTTCCGTAGCGTGTAATGGATAAGGCCAAGGCACCCGCTGCGCGGTTCACAGAGATCGAAAAGGCAATACTGATGGAACTTGTAATGACGTACAAAAAAATCATCGAATGTAAAAAGACCGACGAATCGTCGTTAAACAAAAAAAAGGCAACTTGGATTCGACTCTGCAACGAGTATAACTGCAACCACGGTGTATATCGACGGGACGTGAAACAGCTAAAAAAATGGTGGGAAAATGTGAAGGCCAAAGCGAAGAAGGACCATTCCAAAGAAAAAAACAAGGTCCACAAAACAGGCAAGTCTCTCGTTCAGGTTTCTCATCGCGCTGAAAGTTCCTCGGAATGAGCGATGGGTCACATTTGTAGCCCGAACTGTCGGTCACAAATTCGCCCTTGTTTCGAACTGTTGTTTCTGGAATACCTGTCATGGGGGATGGAGCGTGAACGTGCGCAGACAAGTCGGTTATGCAACCTAATGCTGTCAGTTGAATACCGTAGTAACCTGACAATGGAGCAGCATGAACGGAACCGCAGCACGATATAATACTACCGTTAAATCAGTAATTCTACTTGCAGTTTTTGCGGCGGACATGTACAGTAGATCACAACTGACAACACCCAGATGCTCAATATTTCATTTCATTACGCATGGGGCAGAGGGGATGAACATTCCCTATCAGCAAATGCATGCCTATAAATCGGGGTATATTTAAAAAGGAAAACAGATCTTAGATAACATTAGAACTTGGAGTGCCTAGATTGACTACTGTTTGCTCCTTTAGGAGGGGGGCCACATGGCAAGCCAATGAGCGCCACCTCCGTGCTGGTTGGGGCGGTGGCCTCACACGTGTTCAACAGACAGGAAAATATGGAGGACAGCGATGGGGCACCCTATCTGCCCCCGGTCTGCAGCCTCCCAGTTCTCCGACTACTGCAGCCGATGCTGGACGGCGAGGAGGACCCTCTTGATGCCGACTTGGGTAGAATGCTTGAACCGTTTCCATGTCTTGACCTGTACTTTCTAAACTGGTACCTTTTCGTCTTTACCCACTGATCTTCTCATGGATATGCATGGATACGGTTATAGATCATAATGAGTCTGCCTTCAGAAATGTTTCACCTGGTGTTCCTCAGTAGTACATACTGGCACCCCTACGTTTTTTAATAATCATGAATGACCTTGCAGCAACCATCTCATCTAATATTAATCTTGTTGCAGATGACTGTGTCGTCAATAACAAAGTAAAAAGTGTGCATGACAACATTCAATTTCAAGATAATTTAGTAAAAATGAACAAATGGTGCGAACAGCATGTACATTACTTATGTACAAGGTAACATATATCATTGCAGGGCTGGGTTCCATACAGCTTCAAAACAGTACATGGCAACTACTGCAGACTAACAATGACCATACTCCCCTGACAAAGAAACAAACAGCACAGGGTATTAAAATAATCATATCATGATTTCTGCCAAGAAATATCTATACCAAGCACTCCAAAAGGTGGAAACGGTTAAGTGATCTAGTGGCCTAGTTTATGGCACAGGTTCAAAATGGATGAAAACATTGTTACACATTAGATCAGCAGCAGAAAAAAAAAATCAAATACTTCAAATTGCAACTGCATGAAAAACAAAAATACAATCTCAAACTTATAAAAACCCTTTCTACTCTTCATGTATGTCCCATTGTTCACTTCATAACTTCTACGTGTTCTTTCAATTGCAGAGGAGCCCGGTTCACCAGCTGGGCCTGCCTCAGACGTCGGTGCACCACTGTCACCAGCGGCTGCCTGCATCGCTGATAGACCTGCAGCAGCCCCAGCAGCTTGCCTGATTAGCCAGACATCTACTGCAGGGTCACCAGCTCCTACACCTGCGGCTGCTGCAGCGTGCAACAGTGGTAGTGCGGCAGCAGCTGTGGGCAGTGGTGCCCGCCAGGTCGGAGGACGTATGGCGCTGCTAAAAAGGAGCCTCGCAGAGGAAAACGATATGAGGATGGCCTTTGTCCAGCAGGAGCATGCCCTGCGCTGCAACTTCCTTGAACAGGACCACCGCGACGCACTCAGCAAGAGAGCTGCGCTGCATGAAATGGAAATTAAATTGCGCGAGGACGAGCTGAAAAAAAGAAATGCCATTCACGAAATGGAGATGAAGCTCCTGTGTATCAAGGAAAACATACTGCTGCAGGAGCTGAGCCAGAAGGCTGCACAATAAATCATGTTCAAACTGCTATGCCTGCTTTACTGATGGTTCACTTTTAAAGTCAAACTGAAGTATCACACACTTGGAAGTACGACTCCTCACCTTCATGGCCTGTGTGATGGGCCTCTTGAGCCTACGTGCAGCTCACGTAAAGCTCAGCAGAATGATGTTCTGCCGGATACGCAGACCCGAAGGAGAGTCCTCCGGGAGAATCGGTGGCAGGTGTGGCTGCCGCCGCCTTCTGGCATTCCGTGCCCTGGGACTTGGTGGCGGGGGTGGAGGAGGAGGTAGGGGCTCATTTCTTGCACGTCCCAGATTATGCAAAGCCGCACACGCGGTGATGATGCTGCATGAGTGGCGAGTCTTGTGCTGGAGCCGCATATCCAAACAGGGAAATCGTCTCTTCCAGACCCCAAAGGCCCTCTCGACGGAGTTCCTCGTTCGGATCTGGGCCTTGTTGTACCTAAATCAAATTATAAGGCATGTGATCGATTTTTAGGCATCTGGGAACATACTTGCAATCACTGTATTTTCTTTTTCAGTATGGAAATAACAGGTTGACATTCTTTTGTCGAGGTTAGATATGTTTTATTGACAACTTTTCGTGCACGCACGGCTTCATGATACTGTTGACATCTCATGGAAACTTTTTCGTTCTTGCGACATTTCGTCGACAAACGTTTTCTTCTGCTAGGTGGATTGAATTTAGTGGTCGCGGTCGTCAAATCTTATGATTTTTTTTTCATTTGCCTAATGCTGAAAAAGAAAAATTAGACTGAATTTACTTTTTAGTGAATGAACCACCGACGGCGGGGCAAGCTATGTCTTAAACAGACCACACGATCACACCTCGCTTTGCTCCGCTCTGCTAGGGGAAATGGTTCATTAGCGATGTGCGCGACCAAAAGCGCCGCTGCGGTCAGCTTTCGACGATTGGCCAAACCGTGGGCATATGAGCATTGTCAGATTGTCAGCTTTGACGGTGTTACTTTCGGATTGCAATGACTCCTAGCTTCCACTGTGCTTTTTAAACACACCACCGAAGTCGTCGTCGCACCTGATGGTAAGTAGACAGGATAACAACTGGTGACGTCACGTCGAGGCAAATCCCACTCGTGACGTCACGGATGGAAACCATAACAGGGCGCCATTGAAACATCTCGGTGCTAAAATAATCTCAAGTTCGAGCTTGCACCAAGCCTTGTCGAAACCGCCAAGGGTTCGGCAAGGTAGGAAAGAACATTGGATATCGGCGAAGTGATCTGTCCATGAAACGCTTGAAGAACTGTTTGTCACCGGCAATGACTGCCTGCTATTACAGACATTAGTGATGTTGTCAGTGCAGTACCAAAACAAATCTTATACTTCTGCCGATGATTTGGCTTACCTCCCTCCGGGACTATTTGCCGCTCCAGGGTTTGCGAGCGGCGTCATCAGGAAAGGGAGACAGGCATAGCCCATATCCCCCAGCAGGACGCCGGGCACTCTGCTCTCCTCGTAAAGGGCACGCGCACGACTGCCATCAAAGATGCGGCTGTCGTGCACAGATCCTGGCCAACTTGCCACAACATCAAAGAACTGTAGCTGTGGGCCGGTGATGGCCTGCAGGTATATAACATTGCATTAATACGGCAATTTGGGCCAGTTGGCTCATGCTCGAAAACAAGTGAAACAACTGCCCCCCCCCCCCCCCCCCCCCCCGGGGCTGGCTACGTGCCTGTTGCCCGTAAATAACGTCGCATATGCAAGCTAGGTATAGGCTGTGCAATGGCTATTTCGAGCGGGCCCAGAGGTGTACAATAAGCAGCAACAACACAGCTGATGAAAGGGTTTCCCTATGTTTTACAATGATCGGGTTGAACAGCTGAAATCGTTTTGCGTGAGCATTACCCATGCTTCCCAGCCTGGCAGTTTAGTAGGCAAGCTACGTCAATAAAGGGGGTATAAGAAATATGAGCTCACCTGGACGTTCAGGGAGAAGACTCCTTTCCTATTGCGATAAACTTCCGCATCATCTCCGCCGGGGCTTCTGATGCGCACGTGGGTGCAGTCGATGCAACCCGTGACGCCAGGAAACTGCCCCATTGCGTAGAAGTCGCGCATAACGCCGTGGTACTCCGACGCAGCCGGGAAGTGCACCAGCCTTCGGAAGAGCACCCTCGCGATGAGCGTCGTCACCGTCCTCACTGTGCGGCAGACAGTCGGCTGGGAGACATGCACCAGGTCTCCCGCTACCATCTGGAAGGTCCCGGCGCCGTAAAAGCGAAGGGTGACCAGCAACTGGAGCAGGGGGGTGAGCGGCAGTCCTCGGTTGTCGCCGGTTTGCTGGAGAGGCAGCAGCGTCAGGAGTTCCCTCACCGTCGTCTTCGTAAAGCGATATCTCGCGAGGAACTGGCGGTCACTGTACAGCTCCATCGGGTTCAGGCGGTCCGATAGATTACGCCGCGGCACCGACGGACCGAGCGGGTACATAACGCCGAACACAAGGTCGCACGCACGAGTAGCGAACTCAAAAGACGCGATCCTGCGAGCGGCATCACTCCGATAACCCGGGTAACCCGCCATCTTTTGCGATGAAGGGAGGCTCGAGTGTAGTTGAAGGGTGGTGCCACCGCTCACTTGAATTTTTTCGAGAAAAGTCCGAGTGAAGTGCGAGGCGAGGGAGCGTTTCGAGTGAAGGGGGATTTATGAAACGTAATGACACCCACTCAAGGGCGTTGGAAGTTAAGTTCGAGTGAAGTGGGATCTATGAATTCGGCGGTTAGCCTAGTATTCAACGGGGTGTGGCAGACCGTAATCTTCTCATTTTTCTTCGATGGCCAGGGCCTCCAGCACTTCACGCGCGAAGGAGTTCTTGTTCTTATGAAGGACGGTTATGCTGGTGAGCTCGGCATCGCATCCACAGGTCCGGTAATGAGCTGACAAATGTCCTGCTGATGTGCTTCTCACCGAGGCTGCGTGCTCCCTTGCTCTATCATTTATACATCGGCCAGTTTGGCCGATATAGCTCTTCCCGCAAGAGAGGGGAATATGATATGAGAACCTTTCCTCGTCACACAGGCGATGCGATATAGTCGCGCGATAACTTTCATCGCGAGCAAAAAGCGACGTGATTTGAGCACTCGCTTGCTGACCCGACGTTTTGCGATGTGATCTAGTCGCACCAGAACGGCTCAGCCAGTCAACGGCTTTCGGAGCGAGAGCAGCAAAAAGAAAACGAACCGGTAGCGCCGGTAGCACACAAGAAGCCTAACGTGAACGTTTTCTTCTCTACAAATACTCTCCAACCCAGTGCGCCTCAGGTTCGTCCATCGCCCCATAGGTGGCAGCACATATTCGCCAAAAGGTCAATTAAGCGAAGAAAGGCAACATTTTAGGGATGAAATCTCAGGACAGAATGAGCGGGTTTCTAGAGATAATTAAGCTTGAGGAAGAAAACGAGAAGGGACGGCCAAACACAATAAAAACGAGCACCTTGTAGCTTTCGCTCAAAGCTCGTTGTTTGTTCGCGAACTTTCTGAATTGGGTTGGCCTTTTATAATGGCTCCCTTTAAAGCTGCAATTGCAACATGGCCCATTAAACCGTTCATTAACCCTTTGCCTACCGCAAAAATTAAAAAAAAAGATTTGAAAATACCGATTTTTTTTTAATGTGCCCTATACTCTGTTTCACCTTGTGTTGTACCGCAGGAAAGGCTACATGCGCGAGCTCCTTGCTCTAGGGCACATCTCTGTGGCACAAGCTCTCGTGCACCAAGGGCAGCTGCCAACGCTATGAGCTCGCGCTTCTAGCCTTCGCTAAGGTGCAACATAAGGTGAAACGGAGTGTATAAAATTGTGGTACCGACACGTGGACCGCTCAAAGTAAAAAAAAAAAAAGGCGGGCTCCGCGATTTTTTTTTGGATAATTCGACTACTCCGCCGCCACGAACTGTCAATACACGTGCCCTCACGATCTCTCGTTGCCGAGCCGCTCCGGTCCCAACACTACCCAAGTATTCTAGTACACTGTAGCACAATGCTGTCAAAGCTGCAGGCGCGAGCATGGTGTTTGATCTCGCAGATCATTTGCACGTGTTTTCGCTCAAACGAAACGATAATTAAAGCCACGCGCACGCACTTGCAAGAAGGGTCTCCTGGGTGGTTCCATTTTCAGCGTTCGTGCGGGTGGCGCGCGACTTGCTTGCTTTCCGAAGCGGTGAACATGTCCGTGCTGGGCTGAGGAGATCGCGCGCTGGGTTGAAGACTTGCGAATATTGGAATCGTGTATACTAATGAAACGGAGTTTAGTATCTCCACTGCGTAATGGCACGTTTCCTGCTCTTCATTTTTTTTTCTTCGAATCAACTCTTGAATATACCACCGAGGCCAAATTTACGTCATGTAGGTGTCCAGGTTCGTGTTCACTTGAAGCCTCTGAAGCAAGAAAAAAGAAGTTACTGACCTTAAGAGGTCATGTCGGCTTTCGTTCGATCCTTCATTGTTTGAGAATCAACTTTCTTGGTAAGTGCCAAATCATTTTCAGAAACGTTAATGCTTTTTAGTGGGGCTGCCAACAGCCAAGGAGTTAATGCAATGGTGTTCGGAATTATTTTTCGTGTTCAGAATGTGAGTACACTGTGCAAAACTGCTAGCGCAAATACAACATTGGCGTTGATTTACATTTCTCTGTTTTCGCGAATGCAATTTATTACCGCTTTCGTTAGTGCCGCAACTCAGCACTTTACTTCACACTAGTAAATTTGATGACGAATTTTGGTTATAAGTAAAAAAAAAAAGCATACGACATTTGCATTTCGCGATGACAGTGTCGCGCTGTATGATCCACCGGGAGCACGGCCGGGTTTTGTCTAGATACTAAAAGGAATGTACAGGGTGTCTGAAGTCACCAGGCTCCACCTAAATTGCCCGTAAAATTCGACGCCTACACGAAGCAATCTAAACTTGTCGTCAAAGGTGTATTTCGCAGGTCCGTTTTTTTCTTGTAAAATTACAAAGCCTAGCTCCATTTCTGTAAGAAATAGGACAAAGAAACCTGCCAGGGCCAACAGCGGACGGCGACGAACACGGCCGATTCGAGTGGCGGGACGCTTT